ATCTAAAAGTTAGCACACTTTGTCACGACTGGCAGGTGGTCGGATATATCTGAAGCTATCAGAATGGTATAGCAGTCCAGTATGTTGATAGAAAGTTCAGTTGATGTCTATATGTAGTCAATTCTCGAAGCGTTCTGGCTATTAGTATACGAGGAAAAGCCGATTCTTGCACAATCATGTTTGAGGGTGAAGGTATCAAACATAGACATTCTGATCAACGTGTCAAAATACTTAAGTGCGTTTGTCAGGTTGTGTTGGCGGTCCATGTCAGCATTGAAATCCCCTAGCACAGCCACATGGTAATCAAGAAAGAAGCTTCTTTGATCCATTTTGTAAGTATATGTTGAACTTCCTGTCTTGTTTTCAGGTCTGTGGGTGGTAAGTAACAGTTAATAATACATAGTTTTTGTTTGTTGGCAAACTGCAAGTCTACGTAAATCAATCAATCTAACTTTGTATCATGCTTAAAGACGTGATAGGTGATGTCTTTCTTTAATATAAGATCAACTTCGAAGGCCGTTCTCTGTCTTAGTATTAAACTGAAAAACGATATGTGAGAGGAATGGGTTGGATTGAAATTTTTTGCATGTGTTTGTTTGAAGTTAGTTTCTTGGAGGCTAATGATATCTATGTTGTAGCGGAATAGAGGGAAAGGAGGAAATGTTGTTTTGCGGGATTTGTGAAAGATCTGACATTGTGAGAAGCGAAGGTGAAATTTGGAATGTTTGTTGGAAGGGTGGAATTATTATTTGAGGATGTTGAAACATTATTAGTATCTATAGAGACAGTAATCATAATTAGTTGTTTTAAAATTGAGAAAGGCTCTTTAGAGCCTTATCTGCAGTTATGTCGTAATTAGTGTTGAGAGCCATCATTTCTAATGTTTTATCTGCAGGTAATAAGTTGTTTTGCACGAGGATCATGTGAAAGGCATTACACAAGTTTACCAAACCATTTACCGTTTCTGTGAAATGCTTTAGCCGTAAATTTTAGGCATCATTGAGCTCTTTAAAGGCATTAATAGTGCATTGTTATTGGTTGATAACTGAATTAGATGTATCGATAGCTGGGGTGTCGTGGCCATACACCATATCTGAATCATTCATGTTTTCTTCTGGCGTGAGAACCTTGATATTGAGGGTACTTTCAATGGTATCCATTCTTTTCATGACGGAACCCATGGCGATTGTAAAATCTTCAAGTTGCTGGGTTAACTGTAGGAAGCTGTCCTTAATAAATGCTTTGAAATTGGCCTCTTCATTAGATTTTTCATATATTGAACCTCCAACTTTTGTACCTGCGGCTATATCACGTGATTTCATTAGAGTAAGTATAGTATCGATGATGTTCATGTCGGGCAGGACGTCATCACTCCAGGAAGGGAGTGGTGTATTGTTTGGACCTCTTAACGTAAACGATCCATCTTTGTTGTTAGTAATACCAAATTTAGGCTTCGTTGGGGGTGAAGGTTTTTCTTCCTGTTTTCCCTTAGTAATTCTGGCAAAGATCACGTTCGGATTGACAGCTCCTCATTTAGGACGGAACAGAGCCTTATAGTTGTTGTATTGAACAGGCTGAAATCGTTGGTATAGATGCTGTATATTTCTATCGTTAGGTATTCTTCGTTTTTTTGGACAGTCTTTTATTTTGTAATGGGAAGAAGAACAGATGGCGCATAATTGCGTTTTATTACTTGTCTATTTAATATATTTATCATTAATTGTAAGGTTGTTGTTACTGATAGCTGCTTCGTGGTCTTTCGCCGATGCGAAATAGAAGAAGGCATGTTGTAGGTTATTATAGTTGGATTTAGCCTTAGAGATGATCCAAATTGTCGCGTTGATCATCACTCTGAGATCAGATAAATCTTTACTTGTAGTGTAATGTGAAAGGCACATGAGTTTGGCCGAGAACTTTGATCGTTCTAGTATTTGGTCTCTTGATAAGTTATACATATGGAATCGCACTATATCATTGAGGATGAAGACACTGTGGCCTTTTTTAAGTTCTGTAAAATTGGCATCATTATCGTATATAATTGTGGCTTATTGCCATAAGTTCTTTGTTTTTATGGTGAACCTGACGATCTTTCCAAATCGGTAAAAGATTTTCTTAATTCTAGTTTCCGTTGCGTCTAATGGAATTTCTGTAACCTTGATTGATTGTTGTGGTACGAACGGATATTTGGGTATGATGTCGAGGGGCAAAAATGTGTGTTTTTCTAAATTAGGTAAGATGACATTACAGAACGCGTCCCTTTCGTCTTTATCAGAAAATGTCACCTTAAGTATACTTTTTGATTGGTCTTCTAGATGTTTGGCTAGGGTGACACTCGAAAATGAATCAAATCTATCGAACACGAGGTCTGTGATATCAGAAACTTTCGTTTGAGGAGATTTTTCTGGGTAGTCGTCTGTTGGGAAGTAAGCGAAGAATTTTGACTTTTTTGTGAAAATATCATGAGAGCTCTTCTTGTTGTTCAAAAATTTTCAGAAGCGTCGTTGGTGTTGTCTACATTCATTTCACTTTGGGTGGTAGTGACAACTAAGGTTGTTTCACTTTGTAAAACTTCTTTGCCCTTTCCTTTATCGAGCGGAGAAGGGTCGACGTCCATAAGTGGAGTTTCGTTGTTGTTGTTAGTAGACATACTGCTTTCGGGTTCAATAGTTTGTAAAGTGTTTTGTTTTTTCTTTAGTTGTTGCTCTGGAGTGCCAGGACGAGAGTGAGGTTGTTGTTTTTGTTAGTTTTTATTGTTCTCTTTCTTTGATCTGCCCATGTTGAGGAAAGAGTTTTTTAGTTCGCTGAAATTTCTCATTTTGATGTGCTTTGTATATCATACTATATAGAATTCTTTGTGTATAACGTTAACGAGATCTCCAGAAAATCTTTGGAGTGAATGAAAGGCAATAAATATAGTCCAGATTGGCCTTTCCGCCTTCTAGTTATTGGAGGCTCACATAGCAGAAAAACTAATATAATTATAAACCTTATTCTAAGCAATAAACTTTAGCACATGTTTAAAGGCAAGAAAGGAGATAGGTATATTAAAATGATCATCTCATTTTAGTTGAAAAGCATACTGAACCTAAATAGGAACTAGTAAAAAATGCTATCCACATTTTTGCGAATAGTCCTGCACCATATCGAAAAAATATTACATTTCAAATAATAAAAGTAGAAAAGATTCCAGATATAAGCAAATTCTTCCTAAAAAGAAGCACTGTTGTTATTTTTAAAGATCTTTGTGCTGAATCGTAAAAAGTACAAAAACGTATAGTCCCTTATTTCATTAGTGGATGGCATCAAAACATATTTCCTATATACGTGACTCAGAAATATCAAGCCGTGCTGAAGATAATTTGTGAAAATATTTTCTATTTAGCATTATTTAATAATAAAGGGAGTAGAGAAGATCTTATTCGTATTATATGTCAATTTGTAGATAATCCAAAAAAAGCATCCAAAATCATTGAAAAGCATTTGTGAAATTAGAATTTTATAGTTTTTGATTTTACTAAGAGGGTAGATGATCCATTAGCAATTAGATTGGGCTGGGATACTCCTTTGAAATTAGAAGAATAAAATCTAAAAATTAGTGAATCTTTATTCACAATGAAAAAATTATCCTTAAATGATGCTTGTACTATTGCCGAATTTCATGGTGGAATATGTCTTTCAACTGAATATAAGGATAACAGAATCCTATTAATATGGCGCTGTTCTAAGAATCATATATGGTATGCTTCACTATATAGAGTTAGAAATTGTGGAACATGATGCCCACATTGTGCAGGTAATGTAAAATATACTCTTGAAAATATCAAAAAAATCGCATTATCTAAACATGAGGAGTGTCTTTCAACTAAGTATAAGAATAATCAATTGCCATTATTGTGGTGTTGCAAAGAAAACCATTTATGGCATGCATCTCTTAGCAATGTGAAAAGTGGTAAGTGGTGTCCATATTGTGCAGGCAATGCTCGTCTTACTCTTGAAGATGCCAAACAAATTGCACTTAATCGAAATGGAAAATGTCTTTCGACTACATATAGAAATTCCAATACTCCAATGATGTGGAAATGTCATAAAGGTCAATTTGGAATAGCCCGCTTCATCATATTAAATATTCTAATTCATGGTGCTCATATTGTGGAGGTAGTATGAAGTTAACCCTTGAGGACGCAAAGCAAATTGCATTATCTAGATATGGGGAATGTCTTTCAACTGAGTATAAAAACATAGGTGAACTGCTTACTTGGCGTTGCCAATCTAATCACCAATGGCAAAATTCGTTTAATCACATTAAAAATAGAGGACAGTGGTGTCCGTTTTGTATCAGCCGATATTAGTCAATAGAGGATATGTGTAAACTCGCGCAAATAAAAAATGGAGATTGCCTTTCAGATCAATATTATGATTCGCAAACAAAATTAGAATGGATCTGTGAAAATAACATCGATGGGAAGCTATTCCTAATAGTATTCAACAAGGAACTTGGTGTCCATTCTGCCCTAAATACAAAAGAGAAAAATTATGTCGTGAAATTTTAACGAAATATCTTGGCTCTCCTTCACTAATCCGCAGGCCTGATTTCTTAAAGACACAAGAATGTCCAAATGGACTAGAACTCGATATTCCCTATTATAAATATGGCTTTGCTGTTGAAGTACAAGGCGTACAACACGAAAAATATCACGAATTCTTTCATAGTGGAGACCCGAATAATTTCATCAAACAGCAAGCACAGGATCAACTCAAGAAAGAATTATGCGAAAAGAACTGGATTGCACTAAGGTATGTTTGGTATTACAAAGACCCATATGTAGTAATTCCAGAACATCTTCGAGAATTGGGTCTTATTGATTAAACTTGAAACTTTAAATTCTTTCAGGATTCAAATATTTTATGTGGCATTAGCAAGAAATTTATATTTTTTCCACATTTCACGTGCATAATTTTTATAGTTAAGATTTTTGACTTTAGAATAACATTTATTATACCTATGAAATTGCTATATATGAACAAATTAACTCTATACATCAAATATAACCCATGTTAAAAAAATAACTAAGTATTTACTGTCCGTTTTTTTTGTGGTGTCTTAATACAGTTAGAAATTATGGTCAAATCCTTATCATTCTTACACTTACGGACGCCAGCCTCTTGCAAATCCTCTAACGCACCATCTTCATTATCATTGTTATTTGTTCCTTCAACAATATCAATTGTTTTACGGATAATCGCCTAAAGTTTTGAAGATGGTTATATATTTGGCGTATCCTTTTGAATAAAAATGTATTGATACTAACTTTGGCTTTCCAGGTTAAAACTATACATTTGAGGGCTTGCTCAAAACATTTAACATTGGTTGGCATTTGTAAAGTATTTGATCTTGTTATTCTACAAACGTAGCCAGCAGGAGCATCCATACGCAATAAAATCATAAAAAGCCCTGTATAATAATGTAATTATTATTTGTAGCAAAATTCATAGGCAGATTAAAAATCATACTTACCAGCGTGTATAAAGCTAACTAGTTCCAATTGACGCAACTTATTTGTTTCCCACATTATGAAATTGCCCAAGTCCACCAGCATATCTTTAAGCATCTTCGGACTTTTTAGTCCTCTCTCTTTAAGTAATTTCGTCCCGTTATCACCCTCATATTCTTTTCCAACCTCGGAAGCACCATACTCATGTATTCCTTTTCTTAGAATTAAATCACCTTTTCTTCCAAGAGCTTTTCGTGTTGTTGCGACTAATCCTTGAATTACCCTTTTACTATTTTTACGTTTTGAGGAAGCAAGGCTACATGACTCACCTCTGGAAACATCTACCTCTTCTAACTCGTTAAAAGACTTATCTATTAAGGACCAAACATGGATATTATACCATTGCTCTAAGTGTTTTCGTTGTAATGTACCAGATTCATATTCTAACAATAAATTGTGGACACTATTTTTTATCCAGTCAAAATCAAAGTGTTTGGTCCTGATGAAGTTTCTACCCTCCCAGTTTTGTCGTGCTTCAAGCACTATCCGTAAATCCTCTGTCGTTTTCTTTCGAAAAGAGCCAAGATACTTTAATAATTCAGTTGGCATCTTAGGAAGGTCTTTTATTTACATGTTACGAATTTCTTCAAGTTCTTCAGAGGTAAATACATTGTTTTGAATATAGGTTTCGTCGTCAGGGTCGATAATGAAAGAATGCGCCAAACTAGAAACAAAAGAAACCATATATTATCAAGATCGGAAACTTTTTAGCAATCACATACATCTTTACATACTGTTCAAATCGGCATTGTTTTCCAAAGGAATACAACTTATCCTCAACGCATTTTCCCGATTTCAAAACCCATTTTTTTTCGTTTTTCATTTGCTGGAATGAACATTCGTACTCTAACATGGCTGATTCGCACATTTCTTTTTCTATCTCATCATCGTCATCATCATGATGAATTATTTCATCTGTGGTTTCTGATTTCCGCAATTTCTTAACAAACCGATTGGATTGTTGTTCATTTGGTTTTTGAAAAAATTCATTGATTTCGTCCTATAGACGCACGAAGCCAAATCATGATTTTAATACTGGCAGTAATGCTAAAGAACTGCTAAAAAAATGAATATTCATACTTCTTCGTGATTCCTCCTCTTAACTACAGCTTTGTTGTTGATCATTCCGCTACATATTGTTCCACTTATAGTTCCATTCGCAGAAATCGAATTATCAATGTTAATCGTTGGCCCGCTTGATTTACGCAATTTACGCGTTTTATTCCATCTTTTAGCATCCTTGCGATCATTTCCCTAAGCATGATGAATTTGTTAAGTTGATACTTTCTTATTTTTTACAATTTATTAATATACCCCACCGGTCAGCAAGAAACCTTTAAACATAGGGAACCAAGAAAGCTCCACCATGCCCCGATGGGACCAATGCTAGGTCAGCAAGAAACCTTGACCACAGGGAACCAAGAAAGCCCCACGCGTCCTAGCACCGGCTTCGTGACTCAGCAAGAAGCCTTTTGACGTAAACCAAGAAAGTCCACGTCATGTCACCTACTAATAATAGGAAATGTTACTTACCTCTCTATAATTTTCAAGAAGTTCCTTCGCTCTTTCCTGTCGGGTCCCTTGTTCGTTGCAATTGATATTTTCGAGAGATTTCAAGTAAACATCCATGCTGTCAAATGGCTCCGTGCCACATTCATTCAAAAACTCCAAGACATTCCATTCCACTTGGAGGGATCTCGCTTGAAATATTCGTGCGTTTTGAAGTTTTGCATAATCAAAGAAAGTAATTTGATATATAGAAACTAAGAAAAAACGAGGGTGAAACGACGTGGACGTTGACTCTGATATTGACGATTAAAATATATGAAAGACTTAATTAATAGAAATTGAGGCAATATGTATGCTATTATGCTAAGCCACAACAAAAAACTCTGATCTGAAATCTGAATCATATAAAATCACGGGATCGGCTAATCATAGTTATGGGTCACGCATAATTTTCCAAAAAATGACGCCTTTATTAATACTGAATACATTGCCGTTCATTTAGTCGTTTATTTAGTTACTATTAATTTAAATGAAATCGATATCATCATGGGATAAATTTAAAATCATAATAGCATTAGAAGATTTTATCCGTTCTATCACTTCCATACCACCAATATTGTTAAAAGGCCTGACCTTTCTTTTTTGAAGATTTGTCAAGAAATGACCTTGGAAATTAAAGAAATAACACCTCATCCTTATTGCTCCAATAAAAACTGCTCTAACTGGTAAGAAGGTAGAGTTTGTCAGTCCGCATAATACAAGTAAAAGATGTAGTAAATGTGGAGAGATTAATAAGGAATTAAGATATAAAGAAGTATTTGAGTATTCTCATTGTGATAATGTTATAGATAGAGATGTTAATTATCTTGCATGGAAATCTGTTCCCTGATTATATCATTAATTTTAGCATTAGATATGTTCTCATTAGAAGTTTTTCTAAAGTGATCAAATAATAGCTTAATGGCTTGTCAAAAATAAAAATAACATTAAATTAATCATAGGAGATTTTTTGAAGATTGACTTTGGCAGTAATAATCTTATCATATAAATCAAGAAAATCAAGTGAGTTTCATATTCTGAAGCAGTGGTAGCTGGGACAATATCCATAGAGTTGTGCATCAATATACAGATGATCTAAAAAAGCATTTAAGATCATTGATAAGCATTTGCGAGATAAAAATTTTGTAGTCTTTGATTTCACTAAGCCGATAAATGATCCATTAGCGATTAGGCTAGGTTGGGATTCTCCTTTGAAGCTGGATGAGTAGAATTTCTTAAGTCTAAAGACGAAATATATATTTTTTCCTGGTTTCTAGATCATATTCAGATTCACTACGCTTTTTCGCCTATAATTTTCTTTCATGAGTGCTAAAATATATTTCTGGTTCTATAGTCACATCATTATGCTTCGTTTTGAAAAGGATCTGATCAACAAGAGCAATAATTTTTCTATCTTTAACATTATCACCCTCATATTCTTTTCCAACCTCGGAAGCACCATACTCATGTATTCCTTTTCTTAGAATTAAATCACCTTT